TGAAGCAACTGCCATGTGATTGGTTGATTAGATAATTGCATTAATGAGAAATTGAACAGGTGTTCCTAATAATCCTTTAGGTGAGTGTATAAAACAGCTATTATGTCGTTTATATAATTATATACAGTACTGTACAGAAGAATTAGTCAAGGAAAATTGTTCAAGTTTTTCATGTTATATGCAGAAACTTAAACTGCACATCTGTACTGTGAAATGTCTTAAAACATGACCCCACTGTAATTTGAACACAGAAGCTTCTACTCTGGGGTTAGACATAGTGCCATTGCAGCACAAGATCCACCAACAAGCTTAAAATTAGCAGGATCTAAAGGTATAGCTATTTATTGTTGGTAAAAAGCATATGATAGCCTGGAAAAAAACTATTTAGCATTAAATATGTGAATTAATAGTAACAATAAAACAATAATAATTGCTTACACTAAAACAATAAAAAAAAATCTTCTGTTATCCAAAAAGTTACTGATATCTTGACACATGAGAAGAAGAACACTGCTTTGGATCCCAAACAAGGGCGTAGTTTGGGGGGGGAGGGGCAGTGGGGAAATGTGCCCCCCCCAGTATTCTGAGTCAAAAGCCATTATGCACACATTTACCAATTGTTTGTTTTGGTTAATTGTTTGATTCCAGTTGTTTACCATCAAGGCTGATTTGAATACTTCTCTTGCAGATTTTTTCTCCACTCCTGCTCATTTCTGTTTCGACGATCATTGGAACTACCCCATTGGTTGCTTGGAGCTTGATGCTGATTATACAGTTATCAAGATGTTGATGATTGGATGACTGTCAGGAGCTCACTTCTCATTGGATAGTACCTAGAGACTACCAGCTATCCCACAGCTCTTGGTCATGTGGTGGGTTCTCCTGTTGGTGCTGGTGTCTCTAATTATGTTGACGGTGTGTGGAAACGCATTGGTGTGCTTGGCTGTGGCCACCAGCCCCAAACTGCGCTGCATTGCCAATGGTTTTGTTGTGTCACTAGCGGCAACAGATTTGCTACTGGGCCTGCTGGTGCTGCCCTTCTCTGCGGCCTTAGAGCTGCACCAGGACTGGCCGTTGGGGAGCGCCCTCTGTAATGTCTACATTAGCCTGGACGTCATGCTCTGCACCGCCTCCATCCTCAACCTGCTCGCCATCAGCATGGACCGCTACCTGGCGATCACTGCCCCATTAAAGTACCACACCAGGGTCACGCCTGCCCGCTTTGCTGCAGCATTGGTGCTAATTTGGACTGTGTCCCTCACTGTGTCATTCCTTCCTATACACTTGGGATGGAACACTCTAGACTTCCGCATACAGAACCAGAACCTGGACCATGCTCAGGTAGCCAGTGAGAAGATGTGTCGCTTTGAGTGGAATCGCAGTTATGTGCTGTTGGACTCACTGGCCACCTTCTACCTGCCCCTGTTGGCCATGTGTCTGATGTACTATCGTATCTTCCGAATCGCGCGAGCTCAGGCTAGACGGGTTGGCGTCGCCTCTGCCTTGCGGGACCACAAAGCCACAGTGACGCTGGCAGCCATTCTGGGGGCCTTCGTTTTCTGCTGGTTCCCATACTTTACCTTCTTCCTTCTCATGGGACTGTGTGAGGAGAGGAAGCCCCCAAAGGAACCCTACTCCATTGTGCTCTGGTTGGGCTACACTAACTCTGCCCTTAACCCACTGCTGTATGCTACTCTGAACCGCGACTTCCGTCGCGCATATGGCCGGCTGCTGCATTGCCCGACAGTGCTCAAGACCCCTAGAGTGTCCAGCCTGATCTCCTGGCAACAAAGGTCCTTAAAGGAGACTTCTGGATGTTCGATACCTTGTGACATTGTGACCACTGAGGAGGAGCAGTGACAGTTTTCAGGAGGGTGATTCAAACGTTATCAGAAGCACACATACTCAGTCTTTAGCTGCCGAACTGGATTCTAGCGTCAGGCCAGTGGGTTGTTCCTTCCATTAGAATTTAGAACACAAAAATTTGATTGTGTACAATCTTAAATGAACAACATAAAAATAGGCATAAGGAAATAAGGACAATCTTTACATAACTACTTTATTTACAGTTTATTTAAATTGAAAGAAACATACACAATGTAATCTCAATACAATATCTGTTATTGTATGCTGTTCTATGTTGATATGGTCTACCTGCACTTATAATGGTAATCCCCAAATAGAAAGGATCATCTGCCAGATTTTTATATGATTATCAAATTATACTTGGAACCTTGACTACGAATATTGATTACATCATTATTCCATGTGTCTTGTGATTGGACAGGGTCCTGCCATCACCAGCTACTGGTGCAAAGAACTGCAGGCCTCCTGATCACTTGTTTTTATTCTGTTATTGCCAATTATCAGCCAAATAAATGAAATAGCAACACAGGTAAAGGTTCCCGTGATACATGCCCAGCTGTAGAAATAAACTTTTTGCATATTGTAATGTTTTTATTTGAAGTTTCATTTTAAGCAATGATTAATTGTTTTAATGAACAGCGTTTTTAAGAAAATCTTTCTAAAAAACTCTAATTTCTAAAGAATGAGAATATGAGACTGGATTGTCAAAATTCCTTCAGTATTTGTGTGCCGTCGAAGTATTTTTCTTTCCGTAGTGTCAACTCAGCCCACAGCTTAATTAAAAGTAGAACCTGGGAACAGTGATTGTTGTGCAATTTTTTATGACACGCAACAAATCAACAACAATAAGGGCATCATTGCTTGGTCGATCAACATAAACGACCAAACTTTGAAATTAGCTGAAAAGTGAGTCCTCTGAAAGGAAACCAAGGCAGTTTGAGAATTTGATAAATGTAAAAGTAATGTAGGAACCCTAACAATCCCATCTGAAGTATGTTTATCTATAAACAAGAAAGGACTTTCTTTAGTGGAAGGTAATCAGGTATTCAGGGTAAGCCTGCACATCATGAAATATGACAAACATTTGTGGGCTGCCGACATTGTCCACAACGCTGTCATATAAATCAGAACCATTCCCTGAAGCTTTGACTGGGGGGACAACCAGACCCGCTGACCCCTGAGTGAAGTCCCCCACCAGCACTCTGGCCCAGTACATGTTCTTGTGCCCCTGGGCATCAGGCTTGGAGTAGGTGTGGCTGGCTGAGTACTTGGGATCCACAGCAAAGTAAGTCCCATTGCCTATCATTGCAGCTGCAGAAAAAACATATTGGTCATCACAATGAATCAATGATCTGACAATTATCAGGCATTTGAACTGTCAATTGACAAAGTAAACATGTAGACCATGTTATCAGTATCAAGGGATGTTTTTTAACAACTCATTATGCAATAAATGCTGCATTATGTAATTATTTGTCGGATTTAAGGTATTCCGGGCTAAATGTAAGTGAACGAAGATAAAGCCCATTTAAAGGGAGGTATCTTAAATCCGACAAGTTGTCCAGCTAAGCAAGAAATCTTGCTTTTTTTTAAACGGGTCCCGGGTATTATTAAATGGCTTTATGACTAGGTACTGGAACGCGTTTAATTTGTGTGTGATGTCATTCCCAGTTCCGAATTCCAGCCTCTGAGGTAAATGGAACGTGGCATAACACTGGTCCCAACAAGCCCAATGCTAAGAAGACACACTGGCACCGTCAATCCATGTATAATAAACCTAGATTTTACCCAAAGTATTTTCTTAAACACGTATTCAGTGGAGATTCCAAGGCAGCAGGCAGACAACTTTATTGACTTTAATAACGAGTGTATTTACTACTAGGACAAAGAATATTTAAAAGCTCTCCATACTAATGGTAACTTAATACACATCAACAGACAACACTTATGGTGGTTTTGCTTATTCTGCTGGTGCAGAATAGCGCCTGTGTTTCTCTTCAGGCGCTTGTGCGTAATGCTGGTGCCCGTGTAGTATGTCATTGAAATTTGCATAGTGCAAAACCACCATTGTGCTTTGTGATCATTTGAACTTCTAACAATAATTATGTTGTTATATTAAAAGGAAAACATTTGTCATAATGAAGTGAAGTGTCTTTGAACAATCAGGGAAAAATTCAAACTAGGATGACCACTGTTCCAACCATTGAACACATGTTGCTACTGAACGGTTTTCGAAGCATGAACACAACATTTAGTCATAATCACTCCAGTCAACGGATCTCAACCTGAACAGCTATCATAGATTCTGGAGCAGAAGGACTTTCCAAATAATAAAAAAAATAATAATCCATATAATTGTTTGAAAAATAGTGCTATATCCCTGAAACATAATTACTGGCACTATTAGAACCTCTGCCAAAACCACTATTTATTACAATACTTATTTTGGTCTTTTCCATCACGTGTTGTAGCTAGACATTTACAAATAAGAACAAAAGGAGATTCACTTACCATTTTTGCCAGCATAACTGCGATTGAAACCCTGGCTATTGATGTGAGAGATGGTAGTTGCACATGTCCCATGGAAAAGCAGTCTCTCATTATTGCTGTGTTTGTTCTTCTTGTCCATACCATCCTTCTTGATCTGGTAGTTTTTCCAGAGTGTGTTATTCTGGATCCTTACAATCTGTAGACATAGAAAACAATTTCATGCTAATGAGGGATTGGTGCCTGTTTCTATACATCCCACCTCCCTAAGCTCAGAAGACCATCTTCTCAGAAGATGACTGGCTTGTGAAGACATACAGCACTTCCATGCATCTCCAATGAAGCAGCTATAGTCATTATAATTTCCAGTATTAACCTTGTGTTTGGTCCAGTGGTGGAGATTTCAGGTCCAGAGAGCACAAATTCACACCAAGATTTTGTTTCACCCAACTAGTTGAGTATAAAAAGTCACAGTCACAAAGCACTCAACTGGTTGGTTGAAACAAAATCTTGGTCTGAATTTGTACTCTCTGGACCTGAAATCTCCACCTCTGATTTGGTCTGAAAATCTAGTCCAGTAAGTCTCCCGTGTACCTCCTTTTATAATACAACACAATAGGGACTTTAAGAAAAGCAGTATAAAAATATGCTCAGTCATTATGATTTCCAGTATTAACCTTGTGTTTGGTCTGAAAATCTAGTCCAGTAAGTCTCCCGTGTACCTCCTTTTATAATACAACACAATAGGGACTTTAAGAAAAGCAGTATAAAAATATGCTCAGTCATTATGATTTCCAGTATTAACCTTGTGTTTGGTCTGAAAATCTAGTCCAGTAAAATCATCCCATTCGACATCTATAATATCCATCTCTGGCTTAGACATGGAAACCAAGCTGCTGGACCAAGCCGGCCACTACAAAGTAAATCTATTCCTCCCAAAATGTTCTCTTTTCACCCTCATGTTCTCCTTAAATTAGATCTTGTTCTCCCAGATCTGAAGACTGTATCACACTGAAAACCCAGTACTCTGGTTTAAAAAATGTAACCCCTTCATTACGAAGAGACTCAAAACCATGTGTGTCATGAAACACGAACTCATGCAGGTTACCAGCACTGTCTTACTGTAACTTCTCATCGAATTTGAACAAAGTACATGTAATAAACCATAAGCACAATAAATTTAATATTTACTGAATCAATTATGTCAATGACCATTATGTGTAATTGATTGACTTTTGATAAGCCTATCTACAAAATTAATAAACATGAATGTATAACTGAAATCATTATGATTGGAACTGGAATATCTAGTAAAATACCCAAGAACCAACAATGACTATCAGCTGCTCAGTGTGACCTGGTAGTACCTTAATAATCTTGTTGCTTAGACCGGTCTTCCTGAATTCGGCCTCTACTTGTTGGTATTCTGTAGAGCTGGCTCCCAGGGGCACTTCAAGTAGTTCAGAACCCTTCATGTCATCCCAATCACCTGGAAGACCTTCCACAACTGATGAAGAAAAAAAGAAATGTAAAATGTAAACTGCATTGTTTGTATCTCTTGTCTTTAGAGACGTTCTGCACAGGCTCCTTAGTCAATGTTCAGCTGGACTTACATTTGTCTAGAGCCATAAAACTATTTTGACCACAATTAAATGTATAATTACACACAATCTATACTAAAGCAAATTACCTTTCAGCTCTTTTCTTTTGAGCTTGACAATTTGTCTTCCACTGAAAGCTTCCTTAGAAGTTAAATCAGCCGTATATTCCAAATTATTGATGTTTATTTCAACTTTAGCACAACGGTTATCAAAGGCCTGTTCAAGGATAAGATTGGTGAAGGAGTCAAAAGGAATGAATGTTCCGGAAGCGTCATGCTGCCACTCCACCATGGCACCCACAAGGGCCGCTTCACGCTTGCGTCTGTCCAAACTCTCCACCTTGCGCATCATTTCCTTAATACTATCATTGGCTGTCAAAACATCTCTGGAGAGGCCCTCTAGTTGGATGACGGAGTCAGCACCTCGCTTCTCTAGATGAATGCTCACTGTCAACTTCTTCTGCAGGTCCTGAAGCTTCCTACAGTCCTCCTGAGTGAATAAGCCAATACAACTGTCCTTGATGGTATGTTCCATTTGTTCTTTCATGATGAGGTCCTGGACATACTTCTTGGCCTTGGACACCTCCTCATGGCTCTCTCCGCAAAACTGAAATATGGCTGGAGTGAACTCTTCTCCTACTATGGTGAAACCTTCTTCGACATCAGGTGGAACACTGGTACCTCCAAACACACTAGTAATTGTGTCTGTTTGATAACAAATGGAAAGTTATGATCAGAGAAATAATAAATACAGTACAAATGGAAATGTACAAACGATAAGACTTTTACAACATTTTCAAATAATAGAAGTTTGTTTATTAAACTAATCATTCTGCATTAGAAAATCATTTTCTGTCAGTTGCTAAAGGCACACAAGGAACATGGAAGAACATTTTGCATTTAAAAGTACATTTTAGTGAGTCTAAGTGATAAGACACTAAATATGTCTGTGATCCTCTGATACCTTTTAATCTTGAGAATATACTCTTCTCCT